ATTGCTAATGATTTGGTTCCATATTTTTCCGAGGTACAGCGTTTTGTGGTGGTTTGCAGAGAGAGTGAAATAAGTTCAAAGAAATACCTTGGAGTTAGGTTAGAAAAAGTCTTGTTTAAAGTAAAAGGAAACCTGCAACAATAACTTGTAGAGTGTGAATAAGGTTCATTAATATTGGAAGAATTTTGATATGTAACAATCTGCCCAAATTTTTTTTTCTGTTGTTAACTCAGTATTACTTACAGACAGTGAATACATGTTTGGGCCGTGGCACTAGTTGTGAAATGTTTCCATCGTGGGAGTGCCCAGTGTTTTAATTCTGAGTGCTAACAGAAGCATTGCACTATATGCAAAGGTTAAGTGGATGCTAATTCTGCATTTGTAATATTCTTTAGTTATGTGTTAGGTAGGATATATATTCCATTTACTTAATATCTCGGGGCATTTTACAGTTCCTACTATTAATATTCCTATGTATACGCTATAATTTTAAAGTTATTTTAACCAGGTGCTAACGGGTCATTATTTTGTGTAACGTATGTTATGTGAACTCTAATGCCAGTATACTTTCAGAATACAGTATTATATATGTGAGGACCTTATGGTGATACGGTATATGGAAAATGTTATACGAGTGTATGGACCCAGAATTGTGAGTACAGAAATTCGTGAAGTGTTCACGCAGTGTTGCACCATACTGAGTCTGTGAATGGCAAAGTGTCTAAGTGAATTTTTGATGCCATAATATTATCTTTTGGGAGATTAATAATCTGAACAGTAGTTTGAATAGTTGATGCATGGAGTGTTAGTCGTATTGCAGAAAATCAGTACCAGTCCTTGGGTCTTGAGTGAGCACTGTGCATGTATCGTATTTAAAGTGGGTTATAGTATTGATTTGTTGTAACACAATGGCAGATGCTAACGCAAATAAGGGGACCATGACGGCCAAAGCCGCTGTTGATTTAGCAACAGAAGTCCAAGCTCTTCGGGCTAAACTCGCTGAGTCTATGGATACGATAAGGAGACAACAAGCTTTGCTTGATGAACGGAGGGAAGAACCGGCTGTACCTACTCGTCCTGCCGTGGTTCCACTTTTGCCCCCCCCTGCCATGGTTCCACTTGTACCTCCTCCCTGCCATGGTTCCACTTGTACCTCCTCCTGCCGTGGTTCCACTTTTGCCCCCTACTAACGATATACCCAGCCGACCTCCTGGTCCTATACTCGACCAGGGACTTTGTTATGCTCGATCAGGTGACTTTGTTATACTCGGTGAGGGACTTTGGTATACATGATCAGGGGAGTTTGTAATACTCGATCAGGGTACTGCTATACTCGATCAGGGGCCTTTGATATACCCGATTTGAGGGGACTTTTTATACTCGATCAAGAACTTTGTTATACTCGATGAGGGGACTTTGTTATACTCGACAAGGGGGCTTTGATATACTCGATTAGGGGACTTTTTATATTTGATCAGGGGTGTTTGTTATACTCGATCATTGGGGCTTTGTTATACTCGATAGGGGCTTTGTTATACTTGTATAGATATGTACATACCAAGATATGTGAACACGCCTGACGCCAGGACTCTTGTTACCATTCATTGTACCATTTATTCACATGTCCGTATTACTACATATTATTATAGCATGTCTGATGTCTATGCTTATGTCTAATGCCTATGTTCATTTACTATGTCCCGATGTACTATGTCTGTACCGCTAGTCAGTAATTAGAGACCCCATTTTGTCCTAGGTAACCAGCAACTCTCCTTGCCTAGCTAGCTAATTTCCCTCAGATCAGCTCCGGCCTACACGGTCCGGGGTCCTAGTAATCGCTCCTGTATCGGTTGGCTATCACGCCCAAGTCTTGTACACTTATTGAATATATCTACTGCTCGTGCCCTGGAGTTTCAAGAACCTTGTCTGGGATTACATCCCACCACATGGCGCAGTTTGAGTAGCTCCAACACGACAGTTTACAAGCCTCAAGAGCCGGCCCCGTCTGTTTCCCGGCCTCGTGTTTCCCGCCAGAAGATATACTCCACAGTGCCCTGGTTTAAAGTGCTTTGTGACCTTGTGAAGTGCCCTAAGTGAAGTGCAGTGCCTTTCATGTCTCTTTGCTATGTTTCTGCGGCCTACAGGTAGCAGACACGCCTCCAGCCCAGTTTCCAAGACAGCACTTCCGGCATACATCCTCCATCCACGCAGGCCTGCAAGCCACTGATTTGACTCCCTCCCTCCACTGAGTCATCACCAGCATCTCGCCCGGGCGCGCGGAGAATACACCGCCGCCAGCCGCCTCCTCTCACTTCACAAATATTACGTACTTTTTACTTGCCAGCCAGTTCTTGCACTTAGCAAATCCATTGGCGAAAATATAGCATTCCTCACCATTTTCTTGTCTTCCATCGCAACAATACCAAACACGATGTCTGACCACGACGATTTGCTGGGAAATTTATATGAGGATTGAGGAAGACGACGCCTCTACACGCCGGGCGCGCTAAATCAAAGGATGGGAGCCAGGATATACGTCGGTTAATCCACTAAGTTTTCAAGAGAAGAAGCCCAAAGACGTCAATTAGAGGAGGAAAACGACGTCAAGAGGAATTGTCAAGACATAGAGGAATCAGCTTACCGTCTTCAACTTCAACAACAACACCGCTGATAACCGCAAATTCCTGGACCTATTGGAATTGCCAACGAGGACGACTTCACCAGCTGCCACAACCAATTCGCCAGCTTCAGCCTCTTCATCTATCCTTCAGACAACGCCTCCTCACACGTCACCTCATCTCCCCTAGGTATGCCTCAGTGTCTTCTCACCACCTGTTCCAGTCTCAACTCGTCGACCTCTGTGCCTCCTCCACCGCCTGCCGTCTCGAGTACACCCCGCACAGCTCGATCAGGGGACTTTGTTATACTCGACCTTTGTTATGCTCGACCAGGGGCCTTTGTTATGCTCGATCCGGGGTTTTGTTATAATCGATCAGGGGACTTTGTTATACTCGACCAGGAACTTTGTTTACTCTCGATCAGGGACTTTGTTATTCTCGACCAGGGACTTTGTTATACTCGACCCGGGGTGCCTTTT